CTAAGCTGTGCGTGCTAACGCACGGCCAGACCACTAACCAACGGTCAGGAGCTCAGTTAGGCCGCTAAGACAGAGGGGGGGAAAGGAAGGAAGAAAAAAAGGCAAAGAAAAACTACCGTCGCCACCGTCCCTCGTGTGTGCTCGTAGGTTAGTTCGCACCTAACACCATCGAGCAAATCCCTTCTCGCACCCAGAAGGGAAGGGGGTCGATCCCTTACCGCTTTGCGGACACATAGCCAAACCGCCAGAAGCCACGCTGTGGCCATCCAGCTGGAGTTATACTGTTCATGTGCACCCAGGAGGTAATGCTGACCCCCTTTGATTCTCTCATTCTGTGGGGGTGGGGATGGGGGGGGGAGGGAGGGGAGGGTGGGCGGAAGAGGGCAATGATGACCCGCTCTGATCCTCTCAATCTGGTGGCGGATTCAACTCAGGAGGTAATGCTGCTCTTGTCGTCCAGAGTTCGTGATATAGGCAGCGAATCGAGTTGCGCCAGAACGGTATCCAGATCGCGCCAGTATGTCGTCAGTTGCAGGTTGAGATCGGTCTGGGTCCCACTCAGCTCACTGCCCTCCGCTATTACTTCCTCCTCAAGTTCGTTAAGGAGATGCAAATGGGGAGTCTTGACGCCTCCCTCCACCTTTGCTTCAGTCCTCTTGGAAGAAAGGTTGAAGTCGAAGTCAAAGTTGAGGCTGGATGCATCATAGAGCATGGCTAGCTCACTTTGAGTTAAATCCCGCACAGCGAGCTTGGCCTCCTCCTCTCGGGCATTGCCTGCGGCTCTGCTGGCAGCTTCTGAATGATAACCCAGCTTCCCAGTCGTATCGACTGCAGCTGTCGTCCGATCAGTGTGCTCAGTACCTCTCGGCACCACAGTCCGTCGAGGATTGCGGCGCTCTTGTGTATCATTCTTGGCCTCTGTCTCTGCACCGTTGCTACTGCCCTCTGCAGTTTGTGTCAGACTCTCTGACGAAGGCTCCTCCCAGTCATCAGTTTCCACGTCAGGGTCGGCAGCGTCAGCATCAGCGTCACTAGAATCGTCTGAAAGCACCTGAATTGCACAAGGCGTGCTCTTGCTAGAAAGCAACTGCAGTTCATCCTCGTGCTGCTTCTTCACTCTTTCCAGCTCTGCTTGGTGTTCTTCCTGCCAGGACCTCAGCTGACTGATGACATCGTCCATTTCCTTAAGCGTTTCTTTCGCGTCCAGTTGGATTGATGGCCTGACGCCAAGTCGCTTTATCCAAGGGCAAGACGCTGGCCCTAGGGTTCCACTCGCTCCATCGTCGATTTCCATGGTGGCACCACAATTTGCCCTGTGAAATCACTAGCAACTTAGCAAGTCAGCTCCTTTTTGAGTGCTGTTGTGAAAGAACACCTGGACATCGTCGTTCTGTAGATCTCTTTCTCTTCCTTTATTTTTTTTAAACACCTGATGTGTGCACTGTGCTCAGTCGATCAACCACAGCCGGTGCCGGTTAGTCAAGCAGTCGAGCTCTCGATTGCTCCATTATGGAGACCCGATCTGCGTTGTGACAGGATCGTTTCGGACCTAAAAACCGGTTCCGATCACATCTGACCTGACCTGACCTGATCCATGATGTGATCCACTAAAAAAACAATCTTTTGGCTTTGGGAAGAAGGAAACTATGATTTGGGGTGTCAGATCTTCTTCGTGGACCTTTTTTATTATTTTCAAGGTCTATTTGAACCTTGACTACCGGCTTCCCCCGAACATAATGCATATGCGTTGTATTCGAGTTTCAAAAAATTCAAAAATCCAAATGGAACACGTATCTGTTGTGTTTGAATGTAAAGCAACCTATGTGTTGTATTCATTTACAACGCATATGCGTTATGTTTGGGGGAAGACAGTAGGGTTTCTCCTTCGAGGACCTGCACCTGACTTGTGTTGGCCCCCGGGGCCACCTAAGGCCCTTTCCTTGGGACTTGGCTTTTTGTCCCAACATGGAACTTGGTCTTTTTTTTTAAATGCCAGGATCCCATCTTGGGTGTTCTCTTTCCTCTTTGGTCATTGCTTTGGCTCTGCATTGCTCTATTCCAAACTCTTTAGATTTCGGGCTTGGGCTTGCCCTAACTCCTCAGGCTCGAAGTCGCGTTTAGGCCATGAGTAGGTGAGCTCCAAGATTTCACAAGGTCCTACGGCCAAGGTAGGGCCTTCACTTTTCTCGCCTTCAAAGGTCACACCTTAGGGCTTACTGGCCTCATCCTCTTCGCTAAGGTGCACACGACACACCCCTTTTCTTTCTTCTCCACCTCTGAAACCTGTCCGAGGACAGAGGGCTCCGACAAAAGGACTGGGGAGATGGGCGGGGGGGGAGGAGGAGGAAGATGAGAACAGGGTTGGAGACACAACTTGCATGAAAAAAGGGTTTCTAAATATGTCCTCTGCAGTCTGTTTGAATAGGGAGCTGCTAAGATTCCTTATGAAGACCAAGCATGGTTTTCTCATTGTGTGGTTCGTACATGAGTCAGTCTCCTTTGGAGACCTTTCGAGAAAGGTTTTTCCAATCAAGGTGGGAACGTGGCCAGCAGAAAGAGCGAACACCCCCCCATTAGCAGTAAAATGAGCACTGATGGTTCACACTATTGCCCTTACCTCATGATTATCAGCAAGGGTGATCTTTCTTTTCATTCCTATTTTCTGCTGTTATTGCCTTCATGTCTGTCAGTGGAAAAACAAAAAAGGAAACATTATTTCCTTCCAATTATCTTGCCTGTAGGTTATGTCCATTTAATACTATCACAAAACATACACACCCACACACAGTGCAGCGGTACCCCTCAACTCCAGGCCGTCTTGTCAGCTACCAGGCTATTTGCTAGAGAGAGTTAAGTAATAAGTTGACGCACATGCCACCCCTACTGCATGGCTACCGATCGTTGGCTAGATGTGGAGAATGTCTATGTGGTGGGTTAACTGCTCTTCTTCCAGATTCTTGTGTTCTTGGTATGTGTGCACAGCTGTGTGAGGGATCGCATTTGTCTTTTTTGAACGAATGTCAACATTCTCACCTGGTTGTGACCCTTGTGGGTGAAAAGGAGAGGGTTTTTTGGCTAAGCTGCCTTGGGGATGAGTGCAAAATGTGAGATTGAGACAATAAACTTAAGTAGTAAGCATTGGGAAAGGTGATCAATCCAGATTTGGCCAGATTTTGTTTCACATGCAGTGGTCTGAAATTTTCTACCATGGCCATGTTCACTCTTGCCGAATTCAAAAATGCTTGCAAAGACATGATGATCTTGAATGGTCTTTGCACGTGACAAAGTTAGGGAAGAGACTCATTTTTTTTCGACTATCGTCTTCACCCGAATAGAACACCCGGTAATTATCGCCGTATCTGGGCTGAAAGTTGTGCCAGATACAGCTATAATGACCGGGCGTTCTATTCGGTTGAAGACGGTAGTGAGATTTCGTCTGAAAGCATTTCTGGTCTGATGTTGTCTGGCCTAACCGGGTCAGGTCTCATCGTAGTGGACCTGCCTAGGCTTGCATGTCACAAAGTTAAGGCGAGAGACTCAAATTGTGGCAAACACTTGTCTTTTTGAAAGAGAAATTTGTGAGAACTGTTGGCCAATTGGCTGGGTCATGTCATCATGGATTGACAAATTCCTTGATTGGCCAAAGTTCTTGTTCATTTCCCTGACCAGTTGATCAGTTGGAAGAGTCGTTCGCCGATTGGCCGACTTGTGTAATGGATTGGCGAAATCATTGATTGGCGAAAGTTGTGGATCATTTACCTAACCAGATGGCCAAGTTCTTTGATCGATTGGCAGAGGCGTTGACTGATTGCCGGAGTCGTTCAACAGTTGGAAGAGTTGTTAGATGACCCCCTAACCCCTAACCCCTAACCCCTAAACCCTAAACCCTAAACCCTAAAACCTGAACCCTAAAGTGTGTGGGACTCCCGCCTCAAATAGACTGCCCTTCAAGCTGATCTCTCCCCAGACACGGCATCCAGACAGGAGTGCAGATTCTCGGATTCCCTCTGTCCTTCTCATATGTCTATTTGAATTCAACCTCTGGATATTACTTACACCAATCATTTCCTCCTCCACTTTCTTACATCTCCCCGTCCAGTCACCACTCGCATCCTTGCATCCTTCCCTTGTCTCACCTTACCCTCCTCTACTCATATCTTGTCAATTCAAATCTTTTTCCTCCCACTCTTGCCCATCAGGTCGTTACACGTCACTGCAGTCCCGCTTTGTTCAGTTTTTACGTCACTGGTCTGTTACCCCTTAGAATAAGACAGACAGCAGTGTTGACATGAGAAGGGAAAAAAGAAGTCGAGGTGAAGGAAGGATGTGGGAAGTGGACTTGAGAGAAGTGGAGGCAGATGAGGGAAACTGGAGCATGACAAGGGAAGGAGGAGATGAGCGGAAATGAGGTACAACGGTGAGCGGGTACAACACAAGGGGACGAGGAGGACAACGAAAACCAAGTGAAAAGGAGGACGAGGACGGCAAGAGAAGAGGAAGAGAAGGGCAACAAGAACGCGCATAGAAGGCAGATGACGGCAGGAGGAAAAGCAGAGCAACACACGGATGACGACTACAGGAGCAGGGCAGGAAGCAGATAGAAGAAGGCCAAGGGGAGAGGCGGGTACTCAGGCCCTTCCCCCCACCTTCCGGGAAAACCTATACCTTTCTCGGTCTTTTGGCTAAGATCAAGGGTAGTATCAGGCCTGATCAGTTCAATATCTGATTTTCACCCCAGTCCTGGATGTCCGAATTGTCTTGAGGTTGGACCTTCTAGGTTCCACAAGCCTAAACCACCAATACTTTTCCCCGCTTGAAAATCAATTCGCGCCGGGTTACACGGAAGCCAAGCAGGATCGGGCCGTCGATAAATTCCATGGGCGGCCTGTTTTCCGTTTCCGTCTTTTCTTTCTACCCGTGGCGTATATACTATGGAAAAGGTACTGACGGTTTAATTAGTTGGTCTAGCTTTCCCTGACCCTGCAATCGGTGTCCAAACTGTCTTGGGGTCTGGACGTAAGGCTATTGACTTACCATGAGGGCACGGGTGCGCAGCCCGTAGTTTGTTTCATTTTGGCTGTGGCGAGGCCTTGCGTGTGTGTATGCGCGCACGCGTGTGTGTGTGTGTGTGTGTGTGTGTGTGTGTGTGTGTGTGTGTGTGTGTGTGTGTGAG